GCAAATGTGCGTGCGTGTGTAAGTGAGTGTGTGCTTCGTTCCTGAAGATGTTATTAAATGAAAGCAGCGAATATAACAAAAATATATGATTATATTTCCATAATTTCATCTCTCGCTGAATTATATTGGTTTCTATTTCCAACATCGATAATATTGCTCAATAGAGCAGTGACGGGATATTTAATTGTTGGCTGATGCCGTGCATAGCCTAAAAATCAAAGAACACTTGCTACATGAGCGCATGATCCTAATGTTCTAGCACCATTCGGACAAGTGCAATAATATCCTGAAATTGGATCATTTTCTTCATTAATGCTATTCTCTTGATAAGCGATCCAGATTTGATACCTAGTTGCTGCATGCTGAAAGCGGGAATATATTCTTATTCGTAGAAAATCTAGTTCGTCCATATGTTCATTAAACTGAAATACTTCAATTCTTTCGTGATCTATTTTATCTTGAACATAAGATGGTGCTAATTTAATTTGGTAAATTCCTATTGTAAGTTCTGTGAGATCATCTATACTAAGTCTAGGAAAATAGGGTGCATGATTTTCATTTAATTGATTCCATATTGCATTTCTTCTATGAAGACTTTCGGTTTCTACTCGTGTTTTCATTATATTAACTTCATTCATTTTTTCATGGATTATTTGAGCTAAGACTACATTCGCTTTCTCCATTAAAATAGGACTACGATATTTATTGAGTATAGCGCCAGCTATACGATAAAATTCTTGAAGATGGTTAACGTGATGTATCGGAACAACATCTTTAAAAAACTTAAAAATTGATTTTGTACCTCAAAATATTGGGTTAAACGCAATAACTAGATTACATCGAAAAACATGTAAGATTTTGCTAATAAATTGTATAATCCTGATATTGACATTCCTAGAGTCATTGTTTATATTGATGGAATTTACAGTTATATTTCTAAATCTACGAATTTCAGAGCTTTGAGACAATCATTTTCCATACATGCCGTCATCTAGTGAAACCAGCACTTAGTTGCTCCTGATGGATATATTTTAGACATTCACGGACCTTATTTTTCTGATTCACAAAATAATGATGCTGCAATGTTGTGTAAAGAATTTGAAATAGACTGAAGTGAGGGGGGGATTTAAGGCGGCAGAAGGCATGAATCAAGCATCCATCTCTTCCGTGGCAGTGGCACTGTCGTATCTGTGTAGGGTATTTACACACTCTCTTAGCCCGACAAATAATTGTTAGAAAACAATATTTGTGGATCCGAAAAAATATGCGAGGTATGAGTGGCTGAATCGGGAATTGAACCCGAGTTTTTCGCTTTCCGGGCAACTGCTCTTACCACTGAGCTATTCAGACCTCATACCCTTTAACACAGCTTATACGACTCCAGAGCGATGTTGGAATCTCGCTCAACGGATGCAGTGCAAACCGTCACGGAGAGATAACATACCCAGCCCATCTCCAGAGCGAAAGTCATATAGTCCAGTTGCCCCAGTTGCCAGGGCTGGTTGGCCGCTCACGAGAAAATGCGAAGCCTCTATGGATGATCCTCCTCGAGTAATTATTAAATTACTACGCCTAAGTAGCCCCTTCTTTTGCTCCCAATTAATAATACGATCGGTAAATATAGCGAATAGGGGACCCAGCCCCAATGACCTTGACCTTGACATATGTTATCAAGGACATAATTCTGAGTAACTTTTTCTTCTAATTTAATCGTCGCTCGTGGCTTATTAAAAAGATATTAACAAAAAAAGTTTGAAATATACCAAAGTACATGCACGGACAGGAAGCACGCGCGCGCGCGCGCGCACGCGCGCGCGCGCGTGCTTCCTGTCCATGCATGTACTTTGGTATGTTTCAAACTTTTTTTGTTAATAACTTTTTAAAAAGCAACGAGCGACGATTAAATTAGAAGAAAAAGTTACTCAGAATTATATCCTTGACAACATATGTTAAGGTCAAGGTCATTGGCGCTGGGTCCCCTATTCGCTATATTTACCATTATTTAGTTGAGCTCCTTTTAATCGATACGGCCTATTAATATATTGCAATTTTCGATATAATTCTCGATGGAGGAACCCCTTTTCGTCTAAATGTGGACAACAACGTATTGTTTCTGGAATATATAGGGTATCCCACCAAAAGTAGCCACCCTCTTTTATCTTTTAATCTAAAAGAGATAGATCCTAACAAATACATATCAAATTAAATGATTAAAACTGAACTCTATTGTGAGCATAATGGGTTGCGTGCATAATTTTTTTATAATAATGTGCATATTTTGATATGATAAAAGTTGTAGCACTATTTGAAACGAATACAACGATGTATGATATAATGTAAATATTTTATATATTATACGTGTTTTATCAACTTGAAATATCGCGGTCTACCTTTTCATTTTCGGCTCTGCGATATGGCCAACTTCGGATTGAATATTATGATCAAATGACAAAATGACATATGTCAATCTCTAATGCACAAGTCAGAAGTTGGCCATAACGCAAAACAGAAAGTGAAAAGGTAGACATCGTCCGCGATATTTCAAATCGATAAAACTCGTATATGTTAAATATTTACATTATATCATATATCGTTGTATTCGTTTCAAACAGTACTACAACTTTTATCATATCGAAATATTCTCGTTATGACTATTTCTGCCCTTGAGTGTAGATATAATGCGCAGAACGCTCTGCGCATCACATACATGCGGTTCACGCTTGTATGCGTTATCCCCTTTACTGGTGAGCCAGGACCTCGTTCTGGCATCACTGCATTCTAATCGCACTAGCCCCCAGCACTTCTACCTCACCTACAGTCAAAAGTTTCGGAGTGAATCGATTGTTGTGTGCGTGTCATACCTACAGAAGGACACTATTTATGAGGGTGCATGTACATCATCTTTACTACAGTTTACGGAGGAGGGAGAGTTGCGTTAGCATTCAGACATCGTAATCATCATATATGTCTATTGCCACGCGTAACAGACATATACGCACAGAGAAACAGGGAAGACAGATAAAGGAAGAATTATTACATACATATACAGAGCATAAACGCTTAGGGCCTTAGCATAATAAAAGGAATAAGGAACAGGGAATAGAGAACAGAGAACAACCGCATTGGAGGGAATGCGCGCACAATACTTGTGTGTAAAGTTATAGCACACAAGTATTGTGCGCGCATTCCTTCCACTGCGGTTGTTCTCTGTTCTCTATTCCCTGTTCCTTATTCCTTTTATTGTGCTGAGGCCCTTACATATACTTAAAAGAGGTGTAAATCCGTAACTTCTACGCGGTATCTTGAATAATGCTAATGCCGGCGATAGCTATAACTTTCAAGCCTCCTAACTTGAAAAGTATTTAATGAAAAAATACTTTATTATAGTGTTTTGAAAAGTTCTCGAGGTAAGCTATAAGAATATTTAATAAAAATGGGGGTTTCCATTAAAAAATGTCAAGGTGATCTTTACGTGACCTTGACAACGCTATTCAAGGTCATAATAATATTGCTATGTAATGCGTCACATAAAACTCTACAACCTTTATATGGAACATTTTTTCCAAAATACGTATTTTTCGAAATATTAATGGGTTCTGATACTACTTGTATACCCGTATAATTCAGAAACTGGACGTAGAAAGTTTTTATAACTTGCCATTTTTTATCAGGAATATATGTAAGTACTATAACATATCACGAATTCAAACAAATTAACTAAAAATGTTTTTTTTTTTTTATAAATCGTGCGTGGTCCTTTATAATAAAGTTCTTTTCCATAAAATATTTTTCGAGTTATGAAGCTTGGTAATAAAAAGATGCAGTACCGTCAGCATTAGTATTACCCGAAAATGAATTTTATGTAACTTTAACAATGCTATTTAAAGTCATACCAACATTGCTACTTAATGCGCCATTTAAACCCTACAACTTTTATTTGAAACATTTTTCTGAAAAAGAATATCCAATGAAAAATGGAGATTTCCATTTAAGAAATTGATCTTCACGTGATCTTCAAACGATTATCCAAGGTCAAACTAATGGTACTATCTTATGTCCCCCTTGAAGTCAAAAATTTTGAACGAAACATTTTTTCGCAAAAATTAGTCTATCACAAAATAAACATGAAAAGTTTCCAAATGAACACTCTGTGTGTGTGTGTGTGTGTGTGTGTGTGTGTGTGTGTGTGTGTGTGTGTGTGTGTGTGTGTGTGTGTGTGTGTGTGTGTGTGTGTGTGTGTGTGTGTGTGTGTGTGTGTGTGTGTGTGTGTGTGTGTGTGTGTGTGTGTGTGTGTGTGTGTGTGTGTGTGTGTGTGTGTGTGTGTGTGTGTGTGTGTGTGTGTGTGTGTGTGTGTGTGTGTGTGTGTGTGCGTACGTGCGTGCGTGCGTGCGTGTGCGTGCGTATCCGTGTGCGTGCGTGCGTGTGTGTGTATGTGTGTGTTTAGGTGTGTTATGTTATGTTTTGAGAAATTTTTTATTATAGAATACATTCGGTATAAATTCTATAAACAATCATATTAAAATACATATACACAAATATTTAAGTAAAATACACAATAATATACATATTACACTTTACTGAATAGAACAATTTTAATATTGTAATATGATAATAAAAGCATTCAATTCTGCAGTGCATATTATTTTTATTTTTAATTGCTACAATTTTTTAATATCATTACTTCTGTAAAAAAAGCAAATTTGATCAATAAAATACATTAATGTAATATCTTTTTTGAATAACAATTTTTTGAATGGATCCATAAACTTAGCATTTTTGATCTTTTTGGGAAAAATAATTTATTAATGATTTATTATATATTAATTATACAATTAATCTGTTAATTTAATTTAATTTCTTATTTATTGACATACTTAGAATAAACGAAATAAACGAATACAGATGAGTGATATTTGATATATTATAAAAGTGCGATATTGATAAGAAACATATTTTAAAATCATATTTAACATTTTATAAATGTTTATTTACAGCTCAACAAATGCAAGAAATACACAAAATAACGAATGGTTATTAAATGGATCAAATGGACATAAGGCACCTGTATTATGTTTTAAGTAAGTTAGTATAATTAAGAAATATCTTTTTTTACGAGGGAGGGGAAAGTACATCATGCATTCAATGTTTATGATGTGTGAGTTGTATTAAGCGACTAATTAATCGGCGAGGCGGATAGCTTATGATACGCAGTGGAGTGGTCTTCTCTACAAATGACGAATCATAATATTGTATGACTATGATTTATTTGTGTTATATATTTGAGTATTGAGTATGAGAACGGAGGGCGATCCTCAAAGTAACGAAGCTTCACCTACAACACGTAGACAAAGTCCATTGTGCCTCTCCGATAAGCAGCCTCTCAGTTTAGGCCTGTTCTCCTCCAAAAAAGAAGGAAAACCCTGACCGAGAGGTCGCCTATCTGTTGGGGCCTCAGAAAAGCTGAGCCCAATAGTTCAAATCTCGCCCTAGCATATGCCGGGTAATCGCATAGCACATGGAGACTGATTTCCTCCGATGCGTCACATTTCTTGCAATTGGGCCTCATACTGAGACCCAATTTATACAGGTGATAGTTGAGAGTGCCATGCCCGTATGCGAGTCGCTAGCTCAGCCTCTCGTCTGCTTAAAGCTTCGATACAGGTGGCGAGGTTCTTTTTTGGAGAATCTTTGAGGAGAGCCCTCGACTGCCTGTACCCGACTACACTTCTTTAGGAAGCCCAATGCTGATCTCGCAGCCAACGGGCAATTTTCCACCTGCCCAAGCAGCAGGGGACACCGATTGCCGGCTCTGGTCCCACCAAATCAGCCTCTGAACCAGCCTTGGCAAGTTGGTCGGCTACCTTGTTGCCCCTGATGCCAGAGTGCCCAGGCAGCCACACCAGAGCAACCTCGTTACGTTTCGCAAGCTCTCCCAGGGTGCATTTGCAGTCCTAGACCAACTTGGAGGTAAAAGTCGGGATGCCAAGAGCCCTAAGAGTCGCCTGGCTGTTCGAGCAAATGCTGATGCAACTGCCCCTCTTTTCATTGGCGAGAAGACCTTGTGCACAGCATAAAATCGCCACTATCTTTGCCTAAAAGACCGTGGCGAATTTTCCGAGTGGGATAGACTCATTAATCTCTTACACCGATCGCCGGCTCCGGTCCCACCATATCAGCCTCTGAACTAACCTTGGCAAGCTGGTCTGCCGCGTCGTTGCCCTTGATGCCAGAGTGCCCAGGCACCCACACTAGAGCAACCTCGTTGTCTTTCGCAAGCTTTCCCAAAGTGCATCTCCAGTCCCTGACCAATTTGTAGGTAAAAGTCGGGGCTAAAAGTAAAAGCCGGTTGGCTGTCCAAACAAATGCTAATGCGACTGCCCCTCTCCACATTGGCGAGAAGACCTTGTACACAGCATAAAATTGCCACTATTTCCGCCTGGAAGACCGTCGCGAATTTTCCGAATGGAATAGACTCATTAATCCCTTTCCCTCGACAATAGACGCCTGCTCTAGAGCTCGAGTTAATCCTGGACTCATCCGTAAAGAAAATGACCCCATTCTTCAGCATCGGACCCTGCGACTTAAACCAGTCTTCCCGCTCCAAAAAGCATACCTTGAAAGGCGCTTTCAGGGCACGAATGGCTGGCATTTTATCCTGCCCCATACTAAATATAGAATGGGAAAGGATCCCGTCAGGAAGCTTGGTGTGCCTGGTACTGGCCCTCCATTTTTACTCACATCTCAGTCGGTAAGCCGCCGATGCAGCTGCGGCGATAACCGTCTGGTAAAGCGGCTCGATACCGAGCAGCATCCCCATCGCCGCAATTGGCGTGGTCCCCATAGCATCAAGAGTCTCTCTTAAAATGAGAGCTCTCAGGGTGCTCCAGTATTGTTTTCGCCGACACTAACTGTACTCTAGGCTATTATACTACTGCAGCATATAGCAGTCTAGGTTTAAGAATGGCAGATTAGATCCAGTAGACCATCCCCGGCCTAACGCCCCAGGTCTGGCCAAAAGATCTTCCGCGCAGCCAGAAGTAAGAGATTACACTCTTACACCGATCCTCCAGACGCTCCTTCCACGTCAGCTTCCTATCTAAGATAACTTCAAGATATTTCACTGATCTGGCCGGTGGCAATCTAATACCTCTCAAGGTGGGTTCTACCACAGTGCCCAGCTTGGGGTATGAATATGACCAGCTCCGTCTTCTGGGAATTAACCGAGAGACCAATGCTATCACACCACTCCTTTACTACCCAAAATCACACTGCGTGAGCTCTAGAAGCATGTCCAGAAGGGGTTCTCGCACAATGATATCCAGTTCGTCTGCATATCCCTGCGCGAAGAAGCCTCTGTCATTAAGTTTCCTAAGTAGTCCGCTGACTACTAGGTACCACAGAAATGAGCACCCCGTTCTGTGGGCACTCTGATCCGATGAATTAGCTTGTCCGGGATACCTCGCAGCGTTGCTTCCCTATAAACAACCTTATGAGAGGCATTGTTAAAGGCGTTCTCTATATCTAGAAAGGCTCCCACTACATAGGATCCCTCCATGAGATCTCTCTCAATTTGGGATACCAGAAAATGGATTGCCGTTTCCGTAAAGAAGCCCATCCTATAAGCGTGTTAGTTCTCGTGGGTACCGCCCAAGAACAACATCTCTCAAATAAATCTCGACCAGCTTTTCCAGCTTTTTCAGAAAAAAATACATCAGGCTGATTGGTCTAAAATCTAAAATTGGCAGAGGTGCAGCAGGTTCTGCCGATTTTAGATGTATATACCATCCTCGCCAGCTCCCAGACTTTGGGCGTATACTCTAAAGCAAGACATGCTCTCAGCGTCCGCGTAAGCGGTCCGCTGACTTGCCCGAGCCACTTTTGTAAAAGCGCCGGAAAAATCCCATCCGGACCAGCGGACTTGAATGACTTAAAGGATCTGAAGGCGCATTTCATTTTCTCAAACTGGACAATGCTAGCCGCCAGTTTCCAATCGGAACCACATGCCCTTAACCTGGGCTGCGCAACCCATTCGTCCGAGTCGACATCAAATTCCCTCCTAAAGCCCTGAAAATTGGTCTTCAGGAACCAGACATCGCTCTCTCGAAATCACGTCCCCATTCGGGAAGTGTATTGCCTGCAGGTTTGAGTCCAGGTTTCTTGCCAGTATTCTGCAGAGCCTGGAGTTCTCCGGAATCTCCTCCATGGACTCGCAGAACCCCCCTCCAGCTCTTTCTTTTGACGGCTATTACAGAGTCCCTATAGGTCTTCCGGAACCTCCGATTGAGGTCCCAGTCGAGCAGGCGATCCGTGTTCCTGGCTCTGTTCCAGGCATGTCGAGCCTCTGCAGTTCCGGTCTCCACTAAGATACCTTGTTGGAGCGAACTGCTCTCACTGAGCAGTTCTTTTCATAACTGCCTACTAGAGCCCTTTAAAGATGATCCACGCAGAGCTTTAACCCCGCATTGGTCCCGTGCCTTTTAGGGAAGCCACAGAAACCAGTAGATAAGTCCTTCCAGAACGAGTCCCAATTCGTCCTTCTCGGATTTCTTTTATTGATTGTCTCACATTGGCAAGCCTGAAGACAATCTGTTTGTGATCGGAAAGGGAGGGCTTAGATGAGACCCGCCAGCCGACCACTTTAGAAACCAAATTCCTAGAACACAAGATGAGGTCAAGCTTCTCACGTCTTAGCACATTCTGGAATGTTGGTTCATTACCCCTATTTAGGATTTCCAAGTCAGTGGCCACCAAGTAATCCAGGAGAGTGAGTCTCAATTGCGCACATTACCGATCGGACACGACAATATTTCCCAATCGGACACAGACCCAATCAGACACAGGCTCGATCGGACACAGTCCCGATCGGACACAGGCTCGATCGGACACAGACCCAATCGGACACAATTCCGATCGGACACATATGGTTGCAATCGGACACAGGCCCGATCGGACACACGCCCGATCGGACACACGTCCGATCGGACACAGGCCCGATCGGACACACGCCCGATCGGACACAGGCCCGATCGGACACACGCCCGATCGGACACAGGCCCGATCGGACACACGCCCGATCGGACACAGGCCCGATCGGACACACGCCCGATCGGACACAGGCCCGATCGGACACACGCCCGATCGGACACAGGCCCGATCGGACACACGCCCGATCGGACACAGGCCCGATCGGACACAGGCTCAATCGGACACAGACCCGATTGGACACAGTTCCGATCGGACACAGTCCCCATCGCGAAGCTAGGTCCATCCTACAATTGTTGTGTGGATGGGGAAATGTATGCGCCGACACATACAAAATGGTTTCGCCCCCCCCCTACGGGGGGGCTCCACTATCAAAAGACTAGACACATAGGTTTGCGTTGAACCTCGCTTCGCGTGGAAAGTTGTAAACCTATGTGGAACCTTACTTCGCATTAAAAAGTATATGCATGGAGGCAGTATGTTCCACCCCCCTTACGGGGGGGCTCCACTATCAAAAAACTAGACACATAGGTTTGCGTTGAACCTCGCTTCGCGTGGAAAGTTGTAAACCTATGTGGAATCTTACTACGCATTAAAAAGTATATGCGTGAAGGCAGTATGTTCCGCCCCCCCCTTACGGGGGGGCTCCACTTCCGGAAGATATAACCTAACCCAAACCTATATATTTCTGATATACTGTGTCCGATCGGGGCAGTGTCCGATCGGGATGGTGTCCGATTGCAATCATATATGTCCGATCGGGCCTGTGTCCGATCGGGCCTGTGTCCGATCGGGACTGTGTCCAATCGGGTCTGTGTCCGATACTGTGTCCAATCGAGCCTGTGTCCGATTGGGACTGTGTCCGATTGCAACAGTATGTGTCCGATCGGAACTGTGTCCAATCGAGCCTGTGTCCGATTGGGACTGTGTCCGATTGCAACAGTATGTGTCCGATCGGAACTGTGTCCAATCGAGCCTGTGTCCGATTGGGACTGTGTCCGATTGCAACAGTATGTGTCCGATCGGAATTATGTCCGATTGGGTCTGTGTCCGATCGAGCCTGTGTCCGATCGGGACTGTGTCCGATCGGACATGT